TGTAGATCCCAAGCTTTTGTCCAGCCTTTGTCAGAACTCAGTGCAGGCTGAGGGGAGTTTCAGAGAGACAGATCATTTTGAGGAGAGGACCGTGGCATGTTGCTCCAATGACAGCTAAGAAGAAAAAAGTGGAAATGCAATGACAAACGCACGACATGTGGTTTTACACCGGTCGATTTGGAACCACGGCATGCTCTGCCTGGAGAATGAAGCCTTCAAAATGACTGCGACGTTTAGAAACCAAACATCTGTCACTGAAACATAAACCTGAGGATTTTTTTCCCCCCAGAGAAAACATTAAGCCTTGAATAATCAACAAGGCTTGATTACCCAGACTGACTGTGTCAGCATGAACACCCTTCAGGTATTTTTTTAGTATCTACAAATCAAATAGCAGCACCAGACAGACTCTTTTCCTCTTCCCTGTTCAAGAGATGAGACGAGTTATAGATTCGAAGCAGCTATCAGCAAAGCAAAGCGCCTCTTTGTCAAATAACCCCATTTTATGTTGTGTGAGTGACAGGACACAAGACACCCATGAGCAAATGCTTTCAGTTCAGGGAAAGTGACCAGCTAGCAATTCAGCATGATGAGTCAAACGATGGCTCTGCTGCTGCACAGCTCCCGGCTTCACTATTTCAAACACCACCAAACATCAGCAGCAAAGACATGCCTGTAAGCCTGTGCCAGGTCCTTGGGGTGGGAAACTTCATATTGGCTGGCCAGTGAATTCTCTCAGCTTCTTGCACTGTGGCATAAACTGCTAATGGTGTGCAAGTGTTACCCTTCCAGAATTCATTCCCCTAGTGGGTTTTCTTGACATCTTCAGCTGCCTAAATGAGCATTTAGGGATAGAGGGGGGAGAGCATAAAGATTCTGACCATGGACCATAAAGAAGGCTCATCCATCCCGGTACCTGTCAGCTGGTCTTCCCAAACACTAAGGCTACGTCTAGACTGGCATGATTTTCCGCAAATGCTTTTAACGGAAAAGTTTTCCCGTTAAAAGCATTTGCGGAAAAGAGCGTCTAGATTGGCACGGATGCTTTTCCGCAAAAGCACTTTTTGCGGAAAAGCGTCTGTGCCAATCTAGATGCGGTTTTGCGCAAGAAAGCCCCAGTCACCATTTTTGCTATCAGGGCTTTTTTGCGCAAAACAGTTTTTAGCTGTCTACACTGGCCCTCTTGCGCAAAAACTTTTCCGGAAAAGGGCTTTTGCCCGAACAGGAACGTCAAAGCATTTGCGCAAGAAGCACTGATTTCGGACAGTAGAACATCAGTGCTTTTGCGCAAAATCAAGCAGCCAGTGTAGTCAGCTGGCAAGTTTTTGCGCAAAAGCGCTTGCTTTTGTGGAAAAAACTTGCCAGTCTAGACGCAGCCTAAGGCTGTGTCTACACTGCACAGTTATTTTGGAATAAGCTATTCCAGAATAATTATTCTGAAATAGCACGTCTACACTAGGGAAGTCTGCCTCGGACTAATTTTGAGGCTTCCCTGCAGTGTAGATGTTCTAGGAATAAGCTATCTCGATTTAGAGCCCCAGGAGGAATAACTTAGAGTGGCCCTGGTGAAGGGCTATTTCAAAATAGCAGAAGTAGAGCGTCTACACACGCCTTATTTCAAAATAGCTATTTCAGAATAGGCATTATTCTTTGCAGAATGAGGTTTACAGAAGTCAGAATAAGCCGTCCGTTATTTCAAAATTATTTCGAAATAATGGAATTGCTGTGAAGCCGCTCGCATAGTTATTTCAGAATAACAGCTGTTATTCCGAAATAACTTTACTGTGTTGACACATCCCAAGAGTTAATCTAGAATCATTCCCTCACTTTTCAGATTTCGCTGAGGCCGGCTGATCGGCATCCAACCAGACAAGTTGTCATCGGAGTTCTAGCCAAGTGAGGGGAGCCATCAGGATGGTGGATGGTTGTACTGGGAAAGCAATGCACCCTCTGGGCTCATCATCTCAAGGGCCAAAGTGGAGCAGTCCGAGCACAAGTCCAGGGTTGTATGTCACCTGCAAAGATCTCCTTTGGCAGAGGTAAGGGCTTTCACCAGCCCACACTGTCAAAGGAAAAGCATGAGATGGGCAACCTACTTAGACTCCTAGGCCCATTTCTCCCATGCTCTTACCCTGCTGGTGGTTCGTATCCCTCCATGACCAACCTCTGGGATTCAGGTACCTGTCAAAGTAGGCTCCTGGACCGGCACCTCATTGACTCACTGCTGTTGTTAGGCTGGCACGCCGCAAGCACAGGGAGCTTGTCCTCTCGATGAGCATCATAGGAGCCAGGGGGATATCTGGCAGTACAAGACTGATGGGGTTCAGGTAGGGTGCAGCTAGTGTGTGACAGAACATGTTACCTGCAGTCTGCTCCTTCACCCGAGGAGCTCTGAGAAGCCCATCAGTTTGTGTCTGCTAACACATCAGCTTCTTCCTCCTTCAGACAGCGACAGTCCTGCCACAACTATCAGGCAGGAAGGGCACAGGGCACGGTCCCTTTGTCATCCAAGTTTCTGCCATCCACTTGGGCCCCAAAGGATCACACAAAGGCTCCCTCTGCCCAGATGAGGGAGGTTTTCCTTGGAGTTTGGTTTGAGGTGGGGCATGAGGTGCCCAGGCAAGGGTTAATGGGTGAAAGCTGACATTGCTCAGAAGTTGCTAGGTAACAGCGCCTGGCCCCTTAGGATGGGATGGGCTAATGGGAACATGTGCTGGCGACATCCATGGTTCCAGACTGTGTTTCGTTGACTGAGCGTATTGACTTGCACAGTGAGGGGGTTGGTGTGGATCTCCTGGGGCAGAGCTGGGCTGCCTCTCTCCCACCTGGAGACTACTTTTCCCTGCTCTGCTCCTGCAGTTTCAGATAAACTTTCAATAAACTCGGTTGTTATTCTACATTGGCAGGGGGATTCCTAAGGACTTTTACTGCAAACAGAGCGATTAAATGGAGCCGTCTTGCAAACTTGCAGGAGGCAGCTGGAAGCGTGGGCAGGTTTTGCCTGTGATGAAGGGGCACTGTTGCCCCAGGAGTGTAGTTCCCCACCAGTGGAACCCCAGATGCCATCATCGCATCCCCAGGGTCTAGCAGTCAGCAGCACAGCCTGGGAGAGGCACCTCCCATTTACCTGCATACGCTCCTCCAAATGGCCTAGGGAGGGTGTTTTCCATGCAATAGATGGTTTACATTAAAATCTTTCCTGTGTTTTTTTTTTTTTTTTTTTTAACACATTTGCCATCATTAACAATAGATGGAGTAACACTGCAGCGAGGGAGCTCAGGGCTGGAAATGGAAATCCTCTTTAACTGCGAGCTTCTCCAGCAGGGATTCCTACTTTCTATCCTCTCTCCTAGTTCCTGTTGGGCCAGCCTCTGCTCTTTTGTGCCATTGTCCTGCAGACACTTCTGGGTAGCCAGATAATGAGCTCCTTTCAGCCCCTGGTCAGCTGCTCCCCTCCTTGCTCCCTCCTCAGCCAGAGAGTAGCTAAAGTGCTCTTTTCTGTCCTGCCCCCTGCAAAGCCTTTGGATAGTCATATAATCAGCTTCCCGCCAGCAGCCTTTTCGCTGCCTCTCTGCTCTGAGCGAGGCTAGCGACAGCCCGTGTGCTCGGATTGATCCCTTGCAAAGCCCTCTGGGTCACCTCGCAACTAGAAATGGGCTGGAATTAAAGCCCAGGCATCCTGAATATTAACGAGGGAAGAAAGTAAGGGGTTAAAATTAGAATCTGGATCCACAGTGCTCAAACCAAAATCCAACTCCAAACCCCGGTGCAACTTGGGGAGGTTCAAAATCCAGACCCCAGTGGAAAGCAAATAAGCCCCCTCTTTGTAACGGATTGGATCAAAATCCTCTTGCTGAGCGCCCCAAGCTCTGGGGTGTCCGATACGGAGGCCGTCGAAGCAGGCCCGCTGACCATGGAGGGAGGGAAAGGGAGCAATTGCCCCGGGGACCAGCGCTTCAAAGGAGCCTGGGCCTTCCAGATGTTGCTGCTACTGTGGCAGCAGCCAGAACCCAGGGCCCCTTTAAAGTGCTAGCAGAGCCCCATTCTGGGCAGCATGGCAGGCTGGGGAGGGAGGGGCTCTGCCTGAGGCCCCGCCCCTTCAGGAGCACAGAACCAGCTCTTCCCGTCTTGTCCAGGATCCTGCAGAGGTTGTCGGCTCCCCTGAGGTTGCAAGCCTGCTTGAGCCATGAGCCTGCAATTAGTTCTCCTCTGAATCAGCACCTCTGCCCTAATTTGAGCTCCCTCACCCCACCACAAGCTTGATCCTGCTGGCACTGACCACGATGAAAGATTTGCCACGGGCTCTGATGGGAACAGGATCGGGCCTAGTACACCAAATGAGTTTAGAGCAAGGGTTATAAAACCACTGTCTCAGGGCTGAGCGGGCTGACCAGCAACGGCCCTCTCCTTCTGCCCCATGGCCTGCCTGGGTGTGAACTCGGCAGTGCACGCAAACCGGAGACGCAGGCCGATTCTCCCGCTCCCACCCGGGACTGTTCAAAGCCAAATTTTCATAGACCCGATGGATTACAACAAGACAGTTCAATCGATACGCTGCTGCAGTAGAGAGGGGAAGAGGGGAAACAAAGAGAAGGAAAAAGGGCAAAAAGCAAGAGGAAGAAAAAACATTTCTCATGACTGGGGAAGTGGGTTTTTTTGTGTGTGCAAAAAATAAAAACAAAACAACGTACACAAAGGCTCCTCAATCTTCTGTGGAGGCCTTCGCATCTCCAGTGGAGAAAGCAGGAGCCCACTTCTACCCTTGCTACCTGGAATGCATTGGGACTTATGCAATACCGGGCGCTCCTCCAGACAGAGCCTGGCCTACCCTCAATGTGCTCCTTCCTCGGGTAGTTATTTAACCTCCCTCTCGCCCCCACCCTCTGAGCTTCTCAGCCAAGATTTCTCCAAACTAACTACTGCTTCCATAGTCGGGAATCCCCAGCAGCTGCACCAGGGCGCTAGGGTGGGAGAGACCTCCCTGCCCGGAGCACCAAGAAGTTTAAGATTTCAGGGAAGGGAAGAGAGGTTGAGGGATTTCTACGTGCCCTCAACTCCCACTGAAAGCAACTGGAGCCGGGGATCCCTTGGGATCAGGCTCCTAAGGAGTGTGGGGGGTTAAGGATGTTTCTTCAAAGGACTGAAAAAGTTTTGCCAAAGGGCAAGCAGGTCAGGGAGTTTTACTGAGTATAAAGTGGCCCCAAGCCAAGGGGAGGGGGGTTTCCATAGGGGATAAAGAAAACAGTGCTATGGAACATGCAGGTACGGATGCAACAGATTCCTGCCTCTTTTCTTCCCCCGTGGTGCCTACTTGATTGATGGCACCTAAGTGCGACGACTGGACATTCACCAGCATGGACTCCACCGACGCCGTTTGGCGGGACTGATCTGTGCAGCACCAGACAAGGGCGGTGTGAATACTGACGTGCCAAAAAATGGCTCTGCCATGCAGAGAAGCCCTGTAGCGGAGGGGAGGGGTCTCCCATGCCCAGTGCCCACAGCGCCCTGCTGTGGAATAGCAGAGCAAGTCCAGCGCTGGAGACATGCAGCGGGGCACATTGCCCAGCGACCCTCTGACAGCCCCAGGCCTGCACTCAGTTCAGTGCGGTGACTTCGGCAGAGCCCAGGCCGAGAGCTCTGTGGGGCCCACCTTGCTGGTAGGAGGTAAAGGCTGGGGCGGAGCCTGTGGGGTCTCTCACCCACGTGGGGAACTCACTCTGCTCTCTCCGCGCTCTCTGGGAGGCTCAGCAGCTGGGGACGCTCTCCGTGCCAGTGAGGTCCAAGGGGGGAGTATTTCCCTAGTGCCTTCCCTCCCGGAGTACGTGGGACATGTGCATGGACGGATTCCCTGCTGTGGGGGAGCCCTCAGGCGCATTTCACCGCGAAGAGCAGCAAAGGGACTTGACCAGGACTCCAAACCGGCCTCTCCCATGGCCGCTGTTCTCCTCTGGGCTGCATGGAGCAGGATGGTCTCAGCCTGTGCCTGCTGGCTACCTGGGGACACTCTCCAGCCCAGGAGTCTCAGCCAAACGATCTGCTCCCCCAAAACATTGCCTCTGTCTAGCGCTGTCCCGGTAATCCAGGCATGGTTTCCCAGGCTTATTCTTCTCTTTCCTTCCCCTGGCCAGTGGAGGCTCCAAAACGCCTCCCAATGGCTCTGTCCAGCGCTGTCCCTCATGCCCTCACTGTATTTTGCAGCCTCGCACATACCAGAGCTTTGCTTTCCATTGGATAACCAAGTGCCTTTGTTTTCCCTCCCCAGATAATTTCCTGCTATTACCCCCAAACCATCAGGACAAGAGGATGGAGGGATGAAGAGTTAGTGGGACCCAGGAGCTGATTGCCACAAAGGGATAAAACGAGAACACAACTCGAATACGTCTCCTCTCTGGCACATGTGTTCATCATTCCCATAGGCACAGGAAGAAGCCTGCGGGGAGGGGGATGCTGCAGCTCCCCTAGTTTTTCTGTTCTGCTTTCCCACACCTAAGGGCCAGTCCTTCGGCCGGCTCCACCAGACCCATGCCCCAGTCTCAAGTCAGCCCCCTGCCCTGCAGGCTGCGCTGCCACCCTGGGTCCTGCCTCCAATGCGGGACTTTGCAGCCGCCTCCGGCTGTGGCAGGGCTGCCAGTGCTGCCGCCCACTGTCCCCATGGGCACTGCAGACGCCGTCCATAGGGTCCAGGCCCCCTGCCCTGCAGGCTGCGCTGCCACCCTGGGTCCTGCCTCCAATGCGGGACTTTGCAGCCGCCTCCGGCTGTGGCAGGGCTGCCAACTCTCCCAGACCAGATGGACATCAGGTGACCCCAGCCTGGGGCAGTGAGGGGTATGAAAAGGTTTTGGGGGCAGCTCTGCACCCCCACCCTACAAACAGTCCCAGCGCCACTGCTCATTCCACTGCGTGCTGTCCCTGTGCTGCCGGAGCCTGAGCCACAGATGAAGTCTCTTTGGTGCGTGGCCGCGGCTATTGGTCCCTCCGGTGCAGAGCAAAGACCCTGACCTCGCTAACACAAATCGATCGACTGAGCTCTCTGCCCGCCCGCTGCAGGGGGGCCACGTGATAGGTCGATGCAAAAGGCCTCGCTCGGCGCTACCGAGGAGACCTGCCACTGAGTGCAGGCCTTGCTCCTGGCAGAGGCTTGGCGTGAAGTCAGGCCCATGAGCAAGGCGAAGGCTCCAACAACCGTGGCCAGGCTTGGTCACTGCACAGAATGCTTTTCAAACCATGGGACTTGTGTCGTTGGTGGACTTTTTGGGGTGCCCAAAAAGGGTGGGAAAGGCTCTGCCTGCTGCACTCCAGACTTGCCATGCAGAAGCAGAGAGACGGCATGGAAATACGGGCCTGGGGGAGTTGTGGGACAGCGTTGGAGGACAAGTGGCACCTGAGAGGCTCAGCCTGAGAGCGCACTGCCGAGAGAGCTCACGTTAGCAGCTCACGTGGCGGCAGCACACTGGCTTTAGCCCAGTGTTTCTTAAACTTTTTAAGACCGAGGAACACCAAACAATAATTTATTTTTATGGGGAACACCAAAGATTTTTTGTTGAGGGAAAAAAAAAGGTCGGGTGAAAAAGGGTCGGGGGAAGTTACTGAGCAAGCAAAAAAAAAAAAAAGTCACCTGCCCCTTTAAGGGCAGCCATTTTAAATTCTCATGTTCTCTGGCATATCTGCAACTGCCTCGCAGCACACTGGTGTGCCATGGAACACAGTTTAAGAAACACTGCTTTAGCCCAACCTTCCTCCCCCGACCCAGGGGCCAGCCGCCTGGGTGTCAAGCCTCCCCATGCCCAGGCATGAGGGGTTTGCATAGAGGCCAGGATATTGGCTTAGGCCTCCATGCGAGGAAGAGCCCAAATTAACTTTGCAGTGAAGCCAAGTCCTAAGAGACTGCTCCCCAGCTGAGCTCGGGAAAGAAGGGAGCTCTGCAAGGATCTCCCATCCAAAAGCCGCTGCAGAGCACCTCCCACTGTGCCTGGTGGAGAGGGCTCAACAGCAACAGGCAAACACACCGATGTCCTCTCTCCGCCCTGGCCCAGCCTTCACACAGTATATGGCTGCGGCCTCTCCGGCAGGCCAGGAGTGCACAGGGTTGACTTCACCGCAAAGGGAGTCACAGAAGCCTACGAATGTCCCTTACCTTCCCTGAGACCAGAGCGATGGCCGGCTCTGATCGCTGCGCATTGGCAGGCGGCAGGAACGGGCAGGCCGCAGATTTGGGATTCCATTAGAGCTGCTTTCCTTGCTGTCTTCTCCTCCCCTCAGACCCAAGCACGAGCCTTGCCCGGGCAGCGGGAGAGGCCCTCACAGCCCAACCTGCGGGGAAGAGAAAGAGACACAGGGTTAAAAATAAAACTGGCTCCATGTAATTTCTTTGCTGCTGATTGAAGAGGTTGTGTGTGCTATTTGGCCTGTTTGGAATGAGGTGCACGCGCCTCCTTTGCATTCCGCGCTCCTGCCAGCGGAGGAAAGGAAGGGTCTAAGATCTTTGAAGGCGCTGCCCTTTCATTATTAATATGATTATGATGGCTGATGAGGTGCGTGTGCAGCGACTACTTGCCAGCTCTAATGGCGACGTTCCAAGAAACGTGCACTCTGCTATTCGGGGGAGGCTCGTGCAGACAGCTCTGTTGTCACCCCTTCCCAAACTCACCCCCCCATTTAGCATCGCGATGAGCCACTCGCTGTGGTGCCAGCAAGAAACTCTCATGGAGAGCAGGGAGGGGGCAGGGCTCTGCTGAAACACGACTGGGCCAAATCCGGTCCTGAGCTCCGTGCACAAAAGACTCTAGACTCAGAGCCAGATCCATGATTGGTGTCACACTGATTATCCCACCCCAAGGGGCGGCACCGAGTTGGTCTGCGCCTGCGAACGTGCATTGAACAAGCGGGTGGGACGTACAGGCCAGAAGCAGGCGCTAAGGAAACTGAACAGAACTTCACTGCAATAGAGACTGAAACGGCCACACCTCCTCATCCCACAGGATTCCCTTGGGAAGGGCTCCCCGCATCCGTGGTTAGCTCTGCCAGCACGTAGACAATCAAACTCACCTGACTCCCAGCCAGAACAGCTCCATTTCAATCAAGACAATCCAAGTTACTGATCTTTAAATCATGATGTGAAATCAGTAGTTAAAGAGAAAGGCCTGCATTTAAGAGAGTGAATTGCTGGTTGAGGCACTGTCCTAAAGAAACGCTGACTCCCCTTGGCTCGGTTTAGCTCAGAGCTTCAGAGATACTTAGATTCCTAACTGTTGGAGCCAAGATGTAGGCAGCTGGGTCTAGTGGTTAGAGCAGGAGATGCTGTTGGGAGTCAAGCAAGGGGTCAGAGTTGAAGTGCAGGATACCAGGTTCCAGTGTAGCAACCAGGGAGGATGCACTTACACGGCCAACGTGGCGTGTCCTTCTTTGGGTTGAAATAGCAAGCCCTGGCCAATCAGAGCTCAGTGTTCCAATCAGGCTCAGGAAAGCCAGCCCTGAGGTAAATTCAGGTCTCTCCTGCTCAGGGGGGAGTAAGTTATCAACTGCAGGTGGGAGCAGGGCAGTGCCAGCTAAGTGGCAACCCAGGCCATACCATGTGGCATCATGCCATGTTCTGTGCCAGGCCCCTACCTGAGGGAGCACCCACTGCTTCGGGGTTCAAGCTGCAGCAGCACCTGTCCTGGGTGTCGCCTACACTCCAGTGCCACAAGCTGTATCGTGCTGGCTTAGAGACCTGGGCACATAATAAACCTGGGCTGCCAATGGACAATCAGAATGCTTCTCCATGTACCCCATCCTTGTGCCCCCCCACGCCAGCCCTACGACCCCCCTCCCTGACACACCTACCTGGGGTGTGAAATCCACCCTCCCACAGCTAGCGTGGAGGCGGAGCAGGGCAGGTGGGGGGAGAAGAGGCTGTTCTGCAAGTGCGGGGGCTCCTGACTTGCTAGTGGGGTCTGGATGTGCCTCTCACGCTGGACCAAAGTCAATTCTCACCGCCTGCCTTGGCACCACTGAATCCTCCCTGGGCTTGGCTGGCTGTTTGCCTAACCTTCCCTGTGGCTTTATTGGGATTTTCCTCCAGAGAAGGGAAGTGCTGCCCAGATTGAGCAGGAGATTAAAAAAAATAAAAAAAAAAAGATAAAAATCAAACCCTTTTGCTGGGCTTTTACCTCAAAGGTTCCAGGCTCAAGTCCCTGGTGGACAATTACAGAACAGAGAGAGGGGCCCGGCTTTGCAGTGCTGCGCACTGAGCTAACACTAGGCGCTCGGCAGGAATGAATCGAGCAGTTTCCACCCCGTTCCCAGAGAGCGAGGAGATGCTAATGGGGGGGGGGATCCCTGGGGGTGGGGCGAGGCCTTGGGGAGGTGAGTGATCCCCGTGAATGGAACCTCCCCCCCACATACAGCCTGCCAGGGGCCAGGTGCCGAACCCCTCACCGCGTGGCTGTCGCAGCGGCGCAGTGTGACGTGGGGCTGACTTCTGCACAGCTGAGAGGGGAACAACTGGAGTCTCTCAGCAATACTCTCCGAGGGGTTGATAATATTAACAGGGCCAGCTGCCTCCTTTGCCTTTGGGGGTGTTTTCCAAGAAGAGAGGAGACTATATATAGATGGCTGCAGGAAGAAAGTCTGGATGGGAGTGGAAGGTTCCTACTGATGGGGCAAGCTCGCGTGGCACATGTGCTGATCATTTCTGAGCTGCTCCCCCCCAGCCCTGGGCGTGAGTCCGAGAAGGGGCCGGATTTGGCCCTACCTGACCGCAGTGGACCAGGGCCAGTCTGGGGACCTGTGGAATCCCAATCTAACCTCTCCTCTGCTGCAGGAGGGAAGGGGTGCATCCCCTTTGGCACCCCCTCCCTCGCTGTTGGCTGTTTGCCCCCCTTGCACCAGTGATCGGTAGGTGGGGACATCCCATGCTCACTCTGATCCCATAGGAGGACAGGCTGGCAAGCTTCCTTCACTTCAAACTGTGTCAGAATCACTTAGGTTATTTTCCTCCCTTTCCCCAGACTAGCCCCCTTGGAATCACTCAGTAAGGGACACCCTGCCCCAGAGACCTCAGCCTGGCCCGCCTGATACTAGGGATGTGAAGGTTTAACCGGTTAACCCTGCCCCCACGGGAGCCAAGCCATCTCCCTGCCCCCCCCCACCATGGAGAGGGGGACGGGGGTGCGGCCCGACCCTCCCCGGCACTAAGCATCGGGAAGGGAGGGTGGCGCACAGCTCCAGCCCCCCCCCTCAGAGCACGGGGAGGGTGGGCCCTGGGGGGCAGAGTGGGGGGGGAACCAGGCTGGTGGTTTGGGAACACAATGCCTTCCCCCCCCCCATACAGGTCACCCATGAGCCTCACCCTGAATGGGTAAGGCTCACCAATTAACGTTAACTGGTGGGGGCTGGAGGAGTCCCTGCCTGCTGCGGGTAGGAGGCTGCTTTGGCCAGCCTAGAGCAACCCCGGCCTGTGGCGAGGGGGGGTGGTGCTCCTGTCTAGCAGCAGGCAGGGAGCCCCCACTTGCCCCCTTTAATCTCTTAAACAGTTAAACACTATTTAACCGGTTAGCCAATTAAATGGGGTTTCTCATCCCCATCTGATACAAGGAGACTGGGTAGGCTCTGGATCCAGCCTACACCTGACGAGTTGCCTCCAGGGGCGTAGCTAGGGCGGGCCTGAGTGAGCTGTGGCCCGCCCACGTAGCAACCAGGCCTGCCCAAATCGGACTGGGGCCCTCTGTATTCTCAGTCTGGGACTCCTGATCCTGGCTGGGTGCCCATCAGCCTGGCCACATGGCTCTCCTGCCGGTTCCACACGCTGCTGCCCCCATCTCTGGCCCCAGCACTCGCCCCACAGGCCTCCTGGGGCAGGTCTGGGCAGGGCTAGCCCTGGGGCAGGAGATAGGGGCAGAAGCACACAGTGCCGGCTGGAGGGAGGACACGGCCCGGCTGGCAGACATTGAGCAGGGGTGGGTGGAGCTCCAGTCCTGGCTGGGCCACTCCTGCTCCATTAGGGTTGCCAGGTGTTTGTGCCAGGTGTCCGATATTAAACCGGACAGCCCAGTATTTGTGCCTTCCCTAAATTAAAAAAATTCAGCAAATACCGGACATGCCCGACAGAAGGAATTTTTGTTTTGTTTTTGCTCAACAGATTTTTTTCCTGGAGGTTTTTTTTTTTGTGGGGTGGTTTGGTATTTTTTGTGAAACCATCTGGCAACCCTATGCTCTATGTGGGCCCCCTGCAGCATGCTGAGCGGTAATGGGGGGGGACAGGTCTCCCACCCTTCCTGCCCCCTCTTGCCAAGGCACTGTATCCTTCCTGCACCCATCCCCTTTCTCCCCACCCCCAGAGCACTGGATCCCTCCCACCC